CCTGAAACCTACTCAGCATACTAGCAACACGCAAGCCTCTATGGACAGGTGGGAGGTGGCATGATGGGAACTGACCAGCGTGGAGGGCAAGAATTCCACCCTGCAACCACCCCACTACTTTATCTGAATGAATGGACATTTAGGAGGAAGGAGGCTGGTGGGGTTGTCATTGTGCTGGGGCCCAGGGCTATGCCTGGGGTCCCCAGGGACTGTGGTCAGTCCCTGGACCTAGCTGGAGGAAAGCTGAGGGGGCACAGTCTGTGCTGTTTGCTCCCACCACAGAACACCTCTCCTGGTGGACAGGACAGTGGCCAGTAACATGGAGGAAGACACCCAAGTGAAACCTACCTCCACGTCGAGGAAAGTGGCGTCTGCCCTGGGGACGCCAGGTACTGGCAGGGATGCTGGGCTAAGGAAGAGCGGCGAGGTCCTGGACTCTGCCCTAAGCCCCAGGGTGGGTCATGCCTCAAGCCCACTTTCAAAGCATACAGACTTGGTGGGTACTCTGGATTGCAGACTGCCGCAGTGCAACATACATGAAAATAAAGCAACTCATTAAGATGCTTTGGTTTTTCAGAGCTCAGAAAAGCTATGTTACACTGGACCGCTCTGATGATGTGGAGGGTGCAGCGTGGGTCTACCGTGAAGCAGTTCAAACTCAGCCGGCTCGGCTTGGGAGGAAGGTGGGGTGGTCTGCACCCGCACAGGGGGGCAGTTCCTTTCCACTGTCCTGGAGAGCCGCTTTGCATTTGTGAGTCAGACTTGACTTGGTGGCAGTGCATGGTCTACGCCACGTGTACTAGTATGATGAAGAACTTGCGGGAGTGTGAGAATGACCACAGTGTGCCACCGAGACACCAAGTGAGCCACGGGGCTGCCACGCTGCAATGTGTAAAAGTCGCACTCTCTGCCCGAGTGCAGGAAGCAAGGCATGCTTGTGTGTTCAACTTTACACAGAGACACGGGAGGGAGCTTCACAAAATTCACAGACAAGTGGCACTCAAAGGTATGGCATTTCCCCAACAGACTCATGCATGGTTGTGTACTTGTCATTATCCGGCCTCGGGCCACAGCCCCTTCATTTATACAAACAACAGACCGATCAAGGAAACCCGAAGACTGTTTCTTTCCATAGGAGATTTTTAATCAACGTCAGAGCCAGAGGGCGGCCGGCGGGGAGAAGCCCCGGCCATATGTGAAGAAATTGTTCCTATCGCTGCGTGGTAGTTCACAGCACAGTCGAGGACAGCTCAATTAAAGCGGGACCAGAGCCAAATGTCATCAAACAGTAATGACCAAGTGAACGCCGCCGCTGTGCCCAAGGGGGCTCCCCAGGCCCATCCAGGCCCCCTGGAAAGGGAAGGAAATGAAACAACAGAAACAAACACTCCCTCCAGGTAGTCTTCAGGTAGGCAGCTCCCACGGAGTTCTGCACGGTTTCCCTAAAACAATGTGACCACAGAAATACACAGAATAAACTCTATTCTTGGTAGATCACAAGTGTCAGATGGATTTTTTTTCTTAATATGACAAGTGGGTAAGTAGTCCTTTTTATGTTTCTGACAATAAAAAGTACAGTTTCTTAAGAATTAAGTTCAATAAAGACGCAAACGTCCCTCACCTCCCCCCCTCCCCCCACCGTCCCCACTCTCCTCCAAGTTTTGTTACAGAAAAGGTACTGTGTTGGTTTATTTATTTATTTATTGTTTTGTATCTGCAAATGTCGTGAGAGAGGGGAACCCAAAAAAGGCATTTTCTTTCTTTCTTTCTTTCCCCGAAGCTGCCAAGTGGCATGCAAAATGTGTATACAATATAAAGACATGCCAACCTATAGCCCATGCAACCTCCAGGTGTAGGAAACTTAAAAAAATATATTCATATATATTTATGTATAGATATTTATATATATATCAATGCCCATAAAACATGTGGGCCCAAAAGTCTACAAAAAGAATGGAATGAGGACTGAGACCAATAAAAAAGGAATGTTCCCACCGAAAAGTAACAAAGCAAGTACTGGCAACAAACCAGACTTCCTTTAGTCGGAAGACAGTCCCTCCTCAAAATAAAAAGAAAACTGAAACACTTTGACAAAGTGGCCCTTCCAAAAACGGAGCCCTGGGATGCGGCAGGGGCTTCTGGACCCAGTGGGCAGCCACAGGGCGGGTTGGGCCAGGGATTGGGCCAGATGTGCCCGGGCGTCAGGGGTGGCCCTCAAGGGGGATAAAGTGCTCAGCGCTGGCTGACTCCCTGGCCAGTGCCCCGAAGGCCTTAGCAAAGGAAGAAAAAGGCTCGAGTCCCCAGGTGCCAGGACCCAAGAGGGACACTGTGTGGGGTCCTCCTGTTGGTGTTGGGGACAAGAGCCCAGTGGACCCTCCACACCTGCCGGGTGTATCCGGCTGGCTGGGGACGGGCAAGTGTATCTTTGAAAGAAAGAAAGGCTACTGGGTAAAGCTTCAAGCAGCCTTTGAGGCGCTGTTGGGGTAACAAAGAAAGTGAACCCCGCCAGCCGCTGCCCGAGAGAGACAGGACGTCTGCTGTCACAGTGGACATCTGCAAGAAACAGGAGAGCACACGGGTCTCCAGAGCCACTGTGGGCAGGGGGCGGGGGATGGGGACAGCAGTCCGAGATTGGGTGGAGAATGAGGCTGGGGGGCCAGAAAAGCCCGCCGGCTAGCCCTGCCGCTATTGTGATTACAGCTGGCGGCCAGCGGGGAGAATGTCCAACACGCTCCAGACCCTCCCCTCTGCTTCCACGACTGTCCTCAGTCTGACCCACTGGTCTGGACAGAGGTCAGAAACTGTCCTGTGGGCATCTCCGCCACTAAGCTGTGCTGTGAGCACCGCGAACCTCCGGGTCCTACATCTGGGTCCAGTTTGCTTTGGAATGAAGCTGGCAGCTTCGGGTGAAGAAAATGAAGTTACAGTAAAAAGAGGCTTTGCCAGCGACCATCAGAGGAAAGACACGCAGGATGAGGGTCTGTGCCGTCCCTGCAAGGTGGTCAGTGGGAGAGGGGCCCCTTCGGGAAAACCCGGCCCGGATGGTGACGGCACTCTAGCCCCATGCATTGCTGACATGCGTAAAAGGTCTTTGGGAAACCCAACTTTAAGTCCGATTCATGTGCTCAGAGGCCTTTAAAGGTGACCCTCATGAATGCTGATGGCCTTCAACCGTGTTTTATGAGGCCAGAACTCGGGAAAGACAACCGTGGGAATTGAACACCCCTCGACTCCATTTCATTCCACGCTGAGAACAAACTCGGATACCACTCCTCCGTGTGCCTGTGGAAAGCTGCCCACCGTACAAAAATGAACAGAAACAAAATCATCATCAAGAAAATATAAGAAAAACAAAACAAAACAAAAACCTTGAAAAGTTATTGAAAAAGAAAGAAAAGAAAAATGGACCAGCAAAGATTCAGAAAGGAAGAAAGAAAAATGGGTTTAGATATCATTACCATTCAGAAAACCGCTAAATGGTGAAGACCGAAATGTAAAAGTCACAAAACAACGCTTATTCAGGATCTTTTTGTGAAAAATTCATACAAAAAAAATCAACAGAAAATTTATATCCTTTGCTATAAAAACTCAATAGATACATATGTGCATGGAAGTTGGGAAAGGGAATGGGTTCCGATAGAACAAAATGAAAATACAAATGCTGAGGGCAAGTTGTTCAGCGGCCAATGAGTTGGCGATCTGAAAGCTGTTCAATCGAGCTCTAAATATGTTAGTTTCAACCCAGATTCCTTTCCATAAAGCACCTTTATATTTAATTCACAAGCCCATCCTTCGCCAGGGACCTTTACAACCTGCAACCTGCATTTTATATATATATGTATATGTATATATGTATATATGTATATATATATATACATATATACATATATATATATACTTTGTTTTTCTTTCTATAAATGCATTATAAATATTTTATCAAGATTTCATAAGAATCAAGTTTCTTAGCTTGGAATACATTGGAATATATATTATACATATGTATGTATATATATGTGTGTATATACATACATATACATACATATACATATATATATATATATATTTATACCTAAAATGTAAGCAATACTTCATGCTACTTGCTTTTCATAAAAAGCATTGTGAGAATTAACACTGCACAGTGCCTGGGACATGCTCAACAATCAAATGAGAATGTTCAGTCGTTAAAGGAACGCGTGGGAAAGAACACTTTGGATTCGTTTAAAAGGTGTTGGACTTCAAAATCCCCAACAGTATTGCCACTGTTTTTGGCAACTATCTCCATTTATCTTAGACAACCAAGACACAACAGGAGCGTGTGCTGGCTCGCTCCACTGACGCCGCTCTTCCTTTATCTTAAGGCAATATTCCTCAGACTTCAGAAACTCCAGACACAAAAAAATCCACCAGAGCAATTTAAAAAAAAGGCACAAACTCTCATCATCCGATGGCTTCCAGAAATGACAGGCCGCTCCCCCCACCCCGGGCTAACGTTCCTGCTTTTGTCCAGTTTTTTGTTTCCAAGGTTCGTCCACTCTGTCCCCTGGCTCCCCCGCGGCCCCCGCTGTGGTTCACGGAGGAAAGCTGGAGCCCAAGAAAAATGTTCTCTTTCAGAAACCTGAAGGAGGTGCAGGGCGAGCTGAGCTGTGGGTGTGTTCAGACGGTAAGCACCAGTTTTAATCAAGTGTGTTTAGTTCTGCTCGATCTTTGATTTTTCTTTCTCGTGTCCACGAAATCGGGCAGCTGGGCCTTGAGTCGCCACGGCTTTCTTCCGGCGATCCCCACTCCAGCGCCGTGCTCCCTGCGCGTCCGTGTGTCTGTCCCATGTCCCCGAGTGAGCGGCCACACCGCGGCGTGTGATCAGTGCAGCACAAAGACTCCAGCGCTGCTCACACCTGGCCACCCCTCATGGGGGGAACACCGGCAGGACGCAGGTGGTGGCGGAAATTTCTTGGCTGAGCTTCAAGACGAGACAAACAAACAGGATGGCGGCGTGTGCAGGGCTACAAAGGCGGCTCCTCTTCCATGGGTTCCTCGTCTGGCCTGAGTCCCAGCGTGGAGAGAGATTGACCGTACGTCATGGGGCGTCATGGGTCCCGTACCCACCACCCCGCGCACCCCCCTCTCCGCATTCCGGTTCCCTGCTCACCTCTTTTCCGCCGGCTTGACGCCCACGGAGAGTGAGGCCATGGCGGTCACAGTCTCTGCCTCCTCATTTTCGCATTTCTGCGCCTCCACCAGCGAGTAACCCACAGTGGAGGCAGCGCGCTGTAGGGAGCGCCAGTATTTGCCTGGGGACAGAGGGGGAGGTCACCAGGGCCCGGAGGGTCTGAGGACAGAGTGTGAAGTGTGTACCTGACAATGAACGTGCAGCGGCCCCCAGGTCCAGGGGCAGAGTGCTGAGGCCACTGCCCAGGGCAGTCCCGAGAGAGACGAGGAACCAGAGCTGGATATGAAGCCTGCCTCCCTGTCCCACATCCAGGCACCGACACCAACCGGGAGTAGCTGAGGTTTCTGGGGGCTGGGTCGAGGCCAACTCATGACGTCCCCTCGTGGCTCAGGGTAGAAGTGAGCTCCACGGAGTTTTCAAAGACTCATTTTTCAGAGGCCACCTGCCAGGTCTTCCTTTTGAGGCACCAGTGGGCAGTGAGCATGCTACATGGTCACCTGACTCCCAGCAGCGTGCTAACCATGGGAAACCCCTCCATATCCCACCGCTGCTCCACAGTGGGCCCGACTCAGATGCCCTGCTCTGACTCAGCCTCCTGGTAGAGTCAGACTTGTCCCATACTTGCTGAGGGCGTCCTCCTGGGAGTGGCCACAGCGGCTACATATGAAAATTCGCGATTTCATCTGTCCTACCCCAAACCCAAACCGATTGCCTCCGAGTTGGTGAGGATTCACAGAGATGCTGCAGGAAAGAAAACCACCCCATTGGGTTCCCAATGCTGTCTTCTTTACCGAAGCAGTCGGCCACATCTTTCTCCAGGAGAGGCTGGTGGCTTCAAACCGTCAACTTTTCAGTGAGCAGACATGCGTTTTACCCCCTGCAACACCAGGGCTCCTTCTATTTGATATGTGTAGTGAGACCACTGGCATTTGAAGCAACGCCGCCTCACAGAGACCCGATAAGACAGAACAGAACTGCTGCCTAGGATTCCCAAGGCTCAGTCTTCTCCTGCAGTGTGCCTGGTGGGTTTGAACTGCCAACCTTGAGGTGAGAAACCACACGCTTAAGCCACTGCACCATGAGCACAAAATGGATTCTGGTAGATTCTAGTTCTGAGAAGACAGATCTCCCCTGGCCCATGGCAGGGAACCTCACCACCCAGGGTCCAGGACTCGGTGGGGAGACACAACCCCAGAGCCACCATGTGGTTTGTAGGGGCAGCAGGTGTGGACAGTCCCTCAGTGCAGGGTAAAGAGGAGGAGGCTGATGCCCAGTCCTGACCCAATCCTGAGCTGTATGCCAGGCTAGAAGGTGGAGGGGCACCAACACAGAGCCCTTTCAGCTCCTCTTGTCAGCTGAGAGCAGGGGGAGGGAACAGGTGTGTGTGTGGGGTCCCAGCCCCCAGGTACTCACTGTGGATCTCGATGACCTTCTCCATGGATCGGACGGCGTTGGCGTTGGACCTCTGTTGTATTGTCTTCTCTGGGAGGGGGTCAAGCTGCAGAAAGAACACGGAGGTCAGGACAGTCCCCGTGTCTGTCGGGCAGTGGCTGGACATGCCCGGTGCCTCGAGCTGCATGTGTTTGTTTGCTCAGGGCCCTTCCAACAAGGGAGAGAAATAACTAGAAAATCCAAGTGTGGCCTTAGCATTTACTGTATGAAGTTGTCTACAAGAGTGGGTTTGCTCCCTTTTGAGGGCATTCAGGGATGTTCTGGGACTCATGGAAACAATCAGATGACTTACTGCATTAGGCAAATCTGCTGCACAAAACTTGTTTAAAGTGTTGAAGAGCCAAGATGTCAGTTAAAGACTGAGGTGCACCTGACCCCATCCATGGTATTTTCAGTCACCCCGTGTGCATGCAAAAATTGTACAGTGAATAAGGAAGACCGTGGAAGAATTGACGCATTTGAGTTATGGTGCTGGAGAATATTAAAAGTACCACGACTACCGGAAGAACCAACTACTCTGTGTTGGCAGAAGCACTGCTAGGAGGTTCCTTTAGAAATGAGGAACGTGAGATTTTACCTTTCATACTTTGGACCACGCTTGGTGAAGTTGGGGGTCAGTGAAAAAGAGGAAGACTCCTAAAGAGACGGATTGACACAGTGGCAGCAGCCATGGTCTCAAGTGTACCCACGATGGTGAGGATGGCACAGAACCGAGCAGCATTTCATTCGCCAAGTTGGCACCTAACAACTTGAGCCCCCCATGTGGAAGGAAGAAGCGTGCGTCTAGGAATGCAGGCACAGAGGGAAACCAGCGTGGTGTCCAAGGGTTACCCCACAGCATCTTCTGAGGGGGCGTGATGATTTTGTGGAAACGATCACTTTCCTATCCTGTCTTCTACATGAAAATACCCCTGGATCAGTTTTCTTCTAAGAAAGTGGAGGGGTTGATGGGGAGCGGGGTGAGTCCCATCAGATGGAAACCTTTGTACAGTTTCCACCTAGGATCAGCGGCAGCTGACTCAGGAGGAGATGGCCAAGAGATGGGCACGGCAGGATGGTACGCCAGACCACCGGATGACAACAACAATGGCAAACAATGGGTCAACCTACAGACAACGGAGACTTGCTGATTCAGGATCACGGAGGGGACCCTGCTGGATGGTCACGGGACAAGGGAGGAGCTTGGAGGACAAACATACAGACCACTGCCCCACACATGATGGGCAGGGAATGTCCCACAGTCTTGGCTGTGGGTGGGAGTTGGAAAAGTCGTCCCTCTAAGAATCTGCTTGGCTCTCCACGGGGCAGGGGAGGAGGCCTCTCCACGGGTCCTCAGAGCCAGCAGGAACCAGAAGCTGGAGGGATCAGCACATCCTGATGTGGGACTCCCTGGAGACATGGCATCCGTAGTACTGGGGCTGGGGTCATACTAGAGGACTCTGGACAGTGCCAGGACGCAGGGCCACAAGGATTGGTGGGCAGAGGTTCTCAGGGCCAAGGCTGGAGTGGTCTGGCTAGCATGGTATTGGAGTATCAGTTGGTGGCATTGGCGGTTAGGTGCCGTGGAGTCAGTTCTGACTCATAGCGACCCTGTGTCTTTATGGGAGCAGAAAGCCTTAGCTTTATCCCTCCGAGTGATTGGTAGGCTTGAAACACCGACCTTGTAGTTAGCATCCTGAGCACTAGGTTATGACTTTGGGCATAAATTGAGTATCCTCAAATCCATACTGAGTGGATAAATGGGAGACAAAGAATCTCCAATGATCTATGGGCACACTCTCTCACACCCTCATCCCACCCATGGTCCCCGGGGGTGCCGGCTGTACTTACGGACAGACAGATGGGGCCATACCTTATGCCCCAGTAGGGCAGAGACACACAGACAGACGAGGCCATACCTTGTTCCCCAGCAGGGCAGAGATGCACAGACAGACCGACAGATAGGAATGTACCTCGTTCCCCAGCAGGACAGAGACACACAAACAGACAGACAGATGAGGTGGTACCTCGTTCCCTAGCAAGGCAGAGACGCACAGACAGACAGACAAGAACGTACCTCGTTCCCCAGCAGGGCAGAGACGCAGGCTTCTGAGGCATCGCAGATGGCTGTTAAGTCGTGGCCACCTTCAAGGGCCAGTATGATGCGGCCGCCAGCCAGGCTCATCAGCTGCTTGGTCAGGTACCCGAAACCTGCAGCAGAAGAGGGAGATGCAAGTGGGGGGCAGGGGCAGCGCTGGTGTCTGCTGAGGGCCAAAGCGCTTTGAGGGGCTGACACCATATGGAACGGGGGCATGTAGGCTGCGCCAAGACACCACGCCATAACTGAAGCCAGGTGTCCGTTCATCGACGCCTCTAGGAGCTCCTGCCCCCTCTGTGCTCTGTGAGAGCCTCGAATTCATGAAGCAGCAGATAAGCCCAGTTGGGGACGCGCAGGAAAGTGAGCAGGAACAGCTCAGCCCTACGGTCACTGGTCTCCAGGGCACGGTCATAGCCAGCCCAGAGCTACAGGGCATGCCATGTGTGCACACATGCAACCTGCATGCACACAGGCACACATCCACATGTATGTTCAAACACATGTTTGTGTGCACACGGGCATGCTCATGCCCCACCCTCACACATATGGTCACACGTGTGCACATACACATATGTGCTCTTGTGTACACAACTCACACACTTCTGAACACTTATATCATGCACACACACACACACATGCTCACACACTGCTGTCTCCCGGTGGCTCTCTCTGTCTGGACACCCGAATGGCTCTCTTCCTGGGCCTGGGGATCTACTGCTCCCATCTGCACAGTCAGAGCAGCCTTGGAAAGCATGTTTCCACCCTTGGTCTGGGAATGGCCCCACCCATGTCTAGCCATGTGCCCAGGCTCTCAGCCGAAGGCTCTGGGACTGAGGGACTGAGTGCCCCGGGACCTCAGGCCACAGGGTCTGTGTTTGGTACAGCATCAGGTTTTCCTAAGGACGGAAACAGGGAGTTTCTGGGTTGTTATTTGGGGGACTGGGAACTGGAGAGACATTTTCCGGTGCACAGCCAGTATCTAGGGGTGCTGAGGTGGCCTGGAGTCCAGTAGGCTGGGATTGGACTTACATTTGGCGGACAGGTTGTAGCCTCCGAGGGGCGTCGGGTGTCCTTCCACTGCATCGAAGCCCGAGGACACCAGTACTACGTCTGGTGCAAACTCATTAGCAATTGGCATGACCACTGTCCTGCAGGAAGAATAGTGGGGTGTGGTCAGACAGGGCTGGCCTAGAGTGGTCTGCAGGGTGTGTGGTCAGTCAGGCCACAGTCTGGAGTTACTCTGGGGGGCTCTCTGTGGCCCTCATATCCAGCCCCACATCTCCCTCCAGGTTAGTGGCTACGAGTGGGCGCAGCCTCGACAGGCTGGTGTGGGTACTCATACTTGCTGAGAACCGATGGTCACTGAAAAGACCAAACCACCAGCCCTGCTGTTATGTGACAGCTACAGCAGGGGTCTTTCTGGGGCTCACTGCCTTTTGCACACCTTGGACGTGGGATGCCCCTTACCACATGGCTGCATCAACCTGGGTGGGGGGCGCCCGCAGCCCCGGTCTGGCTCCTACCCTCTCAGGCCGCGCCAGCAGCATGTGCTCCCACCATCCGGCACTTTCCTCAGACGGACATGAGAGATGGCAGAACCGAACCGTGAGCTGGGAGCCCCGGCACCCCCTCCAGACCCCCCACCCAAGGGCACAAGACCACAGCACAGATCCAGTGAGCCTGTACGTGTGAGCTGAGCTCGGTTAGCCAGGAGGACGCAGCCCTTTGGGCCCCTGTGAGAGACCCCATGTAACACTTTTGTCTCTGGAAGAGCAGAAGGTCCTACTTGAATGGGAGCAGGCACCCAACAGATCACTCGCACAGGCCGACTGGGGAGATGGGGTGGGTGCTCAGTGCCAGGTGGCCGTGATGATGGCAGATGCAGGACGGAAAGGTTTGGAGAACGACAGCACAGGGGACAGCATGAGCTCATGCCGCTGGGAACTGGCGCTGACTAACGTGTGTGTGATGCGGGCGGCTGCGGAGGCTTGGCTGGTAGACATAGAGCCATGGGAGGCGGGCCTAGGCCCGAGGCATTACTGGGTTCTGAATGAATGGCCGCAGGCCAGAGCGCATGTTCACTGGGGGTCCTCACCCCCATTTGTCTGGAGGGACAATTGAATGTCACGTGGCTGGTGTCGGAATCGCTCACTGGTTTGTTTGCTTTTCTGACGCTGCACCTGCTCAGGAAATTATTCTGCACACCTGGGCGGCAGCCCAAGGTGCTAAGGCTAAGGGACACGGTCGGCCCCTTGGGGGCCAGCCTGAGGGTCTGGAACTGAAGCTAGAGCAGGGGGTTGGACTGTTCTCTGTCACGGGTCCGAGGGAGGACATGTCAGCAGACAGATAGGGTGGCTGTATTCCAATAAAACTTAATTTACAGAAAATGGGTGGCTGGCTATAGGCCCTGCTGATCCGACATTCGAGGTCCTCTTCAGGGCAGGACACTTGCCCTGATGGCCGTGGCTTCTCATGCCTGTGGACTTTGTAAACACAGCACGACCCAAGGCTACTTTAAACAACATTCTGCTCACTCACAAGGGCCGGGTGAGTGTGGGGAGCAGATGTCTGAGACCAGGGAGTTACGTGTGCTCTTGTGGGGACACAGCCCAGCAAGGAGCTGTCACAGGGCCTTGCCACCTGCCCGGTGGGCACGGAGTGTCCCTTGTGGGTCTGTGGATGCCCTTTCTCAGTGACCTCGGTGACTTGTGTCTCACAGAAGTGCCTTCCTGTGGACTTTGTGCAGAGAACTGCAGACATCTCCCATGGCTCCATCTCAAAGAGAGCCCAGTCACTGCTGCGAAGGGAGTGGCTTTACTTGTCTGTTCCAAATGCTGACGATTTTATTTCCAATTTCCCAGAGGAAAAAAGCCACGGAACTGTTAACATCGTAACAAGAAGCCAACAAGGTCACGTGGTGGTAGTTATATGCCGTGGAGTCAGTTCCGACTCACAGCGACCCTGTACAGGGTTTCCGAGGCTGTAAATCTTTACGGGAGCAGAAAGCCTCATCTTTCTCCCGCAGAACAGCTGGTAGTTCCGAACTGCTGACTTTGAAGTTCGCAGCCTGATTCGTAAGAGAACATACAGAGTCCAACATACAGCAGCATATCTGGCCAACCAGTCACAATCCAAGATCACGAGGGCCCACAGGGATAGAACCAAACTCTCTTTTTCTTTTTTAGTATCTTCCATTCATAATATTTAAAAAAGTTTTTAGTGTGCATTGAGTGACAGTTTACATGGGAGAACATGGGTTTTATACTCGTTTCATTGCAATGATTACAGTCTCCTTCGTGCATCATCATTCAATAGTATTTGCTTCTATTCCCTGTTTTTTTGTTTTTGAATGTACACAAGAACACTCAGGAATATATAATAATTTAAACAACCAAAGGGCACATTCTGCAAACCAGCCTCCTGGCCACCAGGCTGGGCCTTCTCTGAGATGGAGCCATGGGTCATGTCTGCAATTCTCTTTCCTCAGCCACTCCCCCTCTCCATGGCCCCATCTCTGCCTCCATCTCTGGTCCCGCATTCCGCTCGTGTGCCATTTCCTTGATGATCCTAGGGTCCCCTGTTTCTGGACTGTAAGATTAAGTACTCCCCCTTTTTTTGCTATAAAACGTCCACCTTTACAGTTATTGACAGTTGCAATTAGTCATGATAACAATTACTCGCTGTTGAATCGTCTAAGTTGTCCATCCCTATCTACCCTGTGTACAGAGGGGATAGGATTGATACTTAAGGTGAAGACTCCTTTTCTCTCAGCTGGTATTTTGAGCTGCTACATCCATAAGTATAGGTCAAATTCATCAAATTGCAGCAATTTACACTTGCTTCCTTTATCTCAAAAAAAAATTTTTTTTTTTTTCTTTTTTTTTTCAATCCTCCTCTAGTTGAGTGTTGAGTTCTGACCATCGAGGCTGGGTCAAAAGGGTACTACTAGCAAATTTGGGTGTTCTTGTGCATCTCCCCTCACTTAACATCAGCTGAATGCTTCACTCTCAGCTCTAGCCCTCTGTGGCTATGTCCTTGTCCATGGGCTCAAGTGTCCCCAGGTGTCACCACACTTTGGACCAACCAGCCCTTCCTCTTCTCTCTCTCATCTCCAGGTCAACGGAGTCAATGGACTGTCATTGAACTCAGCCCATTTCTTCATTGCTGTCTTACCCCGTCTTCCATTCACCAGTAGACCAATGTGGTCACCAGCAAGCTTACATGCTTGTTTGTGTGTTCCCTTTGAGTTTCAGTCTTAGGAAGACTTTGTCCTGAAGAACTTGATTGCTTGCCTTGATGGCTTCCTGGTGAACAGCTTGCTTGTTCCTGTAGTAGCCAATCAGACTGCCATTTTTTTTTCCTGATGATCTTTCTTTGAAGATGTATTTTCTGTTGCTCTAGCAGCTCCAGGCTGGTCTGCTTGTCCTTTCCAGTGGGAATGGCCCACCTCATAAGGTAGACCCAGAGCTACACATTTCCTATCAACCGTCTCCTGACTGGTCTCCCCGCTGAGTCTTGGTACAGAGTAATCTTTGACTTTTGCTGGACAGCCTGGGGCTTGGGCTTTCTGAGACGGCAGACCCCTGTGTGTCCACTCAGAGGTGGGAGACGTGGGCAATGAGTCAGGCTGTTGTCCCAGAGCAGAGACAGGCAGGACACCCGTGAAGGACTGACTGAACTCCTCAAAACATGTGTCAGGAGTCCTGGTATGGCCATGTGGGTTAATGCGCCAGACTGCAAAGCCGTTTGAACTGCAAGGTCGGTGGTTCAAGCTCACCAGCTGCTCCTTGGAAACCCTATACAGGGTCACTATGAGTCAAAACCAAATCACCATCACGTAACAACAAATATATATACCGGAGTCCTGGTGTGGCGCTGTGGGCTAATGCATCAGACTGCAAAGTTGTTCGAACTGGTGGTTCAAGCTCACCAGCTGCTCCTTGGAAACCGTATACAGGGTCCCTATTGGTCGGAATCGACTTGACGGCACTTCACAATAAACAACAACAAACAGTACTAGATAGCTAATGGAGTCCCGGTGTGGTACTGCCGGAGAATGTGCTTGCCCACAATGTCCGTTTGAGCTACAAGGGTTCACAGGGTTGCTGAGTTGGAACTGACTCGACGGCATTTTAACAACAGACAGCTAATACAGGCCAGCCTTCCCATCCCACCCAGAGTGTTCCGGAAGCCCCTCCATCCACGCTGGCTCAGAGGTGCCTGCCGCAGCCTTCCTCCACACATGCTCGGAGAGCCTCTGGAACCTTCTTTAGCTTCCTCTCACTCCATCCCTAAGCCTTGAGGAGACGGAGGTCTGTCCCTGTCCTGTCTCGGCAACTCTTCCTGGCTTCTGCTAGCTACTTCTGGTCACTCATGCAGCCTGGTCCTTGTCTTGCCAGGGACCTCGAGGTCCTGTAGAAAACCCACTGACCCCACCTTTAGATTCCTTGTCTCTTGTGAGGACACACTGCCATCATCACACATCGCTCCCATCCCTCCCGCACCTTCCAGCTCCATCTTCTAGCTTGGCCACAACAAACATTGGGGGCTCGAGACGCCAGGTCTCCAGAGAGCATGATTCAATGACACACTAGTACTGTACCACCCACATGCTCAGGGGGCTGCTGGACTGCTGGACCCACAGAGGTTTTCATGGGCTGATTTTCAGAAGCAGGTGCCCAGGCCTTTCCTCCTGATCTCAGTCTGGAGGTACCGAGACCTATCCAGCATCACATAACAGATGGGCGGTCGCTGCACGTGAGGTGCACTGGCTGGGAGTTGAACCCAGGTCTCCTGTGTGGAAGACGAGGCTCTAGTTTGAAGCTACTCTATTTTCTCACACTTGAATCCAAATTGTGATTTAAGAGTTAAGACCCTCACTTCATCTTCTGGCGGCAGCAGGCGAACGAGGGGTTAAGGAGTGTGTCCAGTCTCCCTGTCAGCCTGGAGTGCGGGACTTCAAAGCCTGCGTCTGGCAAGGGGCTGGTTTGAATAAAGCCCCTTTCTCTCTGTATCTCCAAGCCTGGGGAGAGAGCCCATTACCTCTGGTTTTCATTAAGGGCATTTTCCTTATCTTTTCTGCATCGGGGGCGTGATCCCCCCAAAACGCAATGTGGCAGGCGACTGGCTGGCTTCACAAGGTGCTGGAGGGGATGGGGGCTGGTCTTGAGGGGCTTGGACAGGTGGGGGTGTGTGTGATGAGGCAGAAATAGGAGAGCAAGCCGGTCACTCTTCTTCACTGGCTGGTGCATGGCACCATAAATTGTTAACTTCAAAGAGCTATTTTACATAAAAATCAATAAAAAGAATCCTGAAGTAATTTTCCTTTTCCAGGAGGCTGTTTGGGCTTGAGAACATTCACTGACCAGTCCTGGTCACGTGCACATCTGGCAGAAGACCCCAATGGTTCAACTCAGAGAGGAAGACTTGCCCTAAGGGCTGGCCCAGGGTGAGGGAGGGAGGTGCCCCCACTGCTGACCAGGACCCCAAGTCTGAGGCCCCCAACTAGACCAATGAGGGGAGAGATGCTCCAACCCCATTTGCTCATGTCCTGCTCGCTGGGCAGCGGGATCTGTGTGCTTGACCACCTTGTCTTCAGTCAGCATCCACACCAGATGGTGGGAGAGAGGACAGTGAGGATGGTGGTGGGGCTGTATCCGGGGGTAACGTCCTGCTGCCTGCATCCTGGCAACGGGAGCATCCCAATTAGACGGCATCTGATGGAAAGGTGGAAGAGATGTCCACCTGCCCCAGGCTGAGTCAGGGTGTCTTCCTGGACACTGGGTAGGACCATGGCAGGCTGTATGAACACTTCAGAGGGTCAATGACTGGCCCCCAGAGAGCAACAGGCTGAATGAGGAGCAAGTCCCAGGTGTCCTCTGCAGACTCCCCCACACGATGCTCACACGTCGTGCACACAGGCACAGATGTTTGTCGAGAGGCAGGTGTACAGACACTCATACATGTGCACACACGCTCTGTCATGCAGGCACACGCACGTCCCATGTGTGAATCAGGAATCCCCGGAAAAATTCAGACCAAGTTTCAGTGAAAACATTCACGACTCAGTTCAAGAACAGCCTTGTCCAAGGAAGACAGAGGCCCTCGGCTCAGCCACCTGACGCTTCTCCTCACAGAGACTGTGGGGAGCAGCACCCCCATCTGCAAGGCACGGTCCTACCCCCGGGGTCTTTAAGCTGGCCTGGCTCAACGTGGAGAAGTCACTCGGTTGGTATGGGAGCAAACATGTTCTGAAAGCAGCTCTGCGGAGTCCGGCGTCTGCCCCCCCCAATTCTCCAGAAACCAAGGGGCAATGCAAACGGACTTCAAAGTTCACGGAAAAATGGAATAGAAAGATTCTGGACTTTTCCCACGAACTTGAGGGCCCCACTTGGTATTTATTTCTATTCCCCACCCACTCAGGAAGGGTGTGTGGGAGAGAAACTTGGCCGTCTTCACGGCTTCCATCTTTCCCAGCATGACACATGCCTGTTTCTCACAGGCAGGACCCTGCACGCCAGGGGACAGGGACACTGAAGGGTCCTCCCCCTGTGAGGGGGAGTCACAGAACCCCACAACCAACTCCTTCATCTGGAGCATGGAGCTGCTTTCCCTGGCGCAGCGAGGCGGGGGAGCAGAGGAGGCCGGAAGCGCTGGGGACAGGTGCTGACCATCCAGGTGTCAAGGTTCTCACCTGAAAGCTGTCAGGTACTCAGCGTCACCCATGGGGGGGTCGAGACCACCAGTGAAGGCCATGTTCACGTTGAAGCCCACGCCGGGCCCCGTGCCTACCTGCATGGCAAGGAGACAGAGATGTATTACAGACCATGACCAGGGTCCCCCCGCCCCGAGCGGCATGCCCAGTGGGCCCCGCTCACCTCGTCAGGGGTTGCCCACCCTGAGCACGCGCACCCTGTGGACCCCCCGCTCACCTCGTCGGGGGCCCCGCTGCCCGGAAAGAAGTTGCCGTCGTCATAGCGATGCAGGGAGACATAGAGTACGCTGGGGTCGCTGTAGAAGGCCTGCTGTGTCCCGTTCCCATGGTGCACATCCTGCCAGAACAAAGCCGGTCAGCATGATGGTACGATGACCACGGGGCAGGCCGGCCACCACAGCTGTCACAGAGGCATGGGGCCAAGGGCAGATTTGGGGATGTCTTAAAGTTCATGTCTGGTTTATAAACCTTTCAGTGCCCAAGGAGCAAACCATGTAGGGCACACTGGGGACACGGTAGGCCACGCACAGGGTCCCGTGGGATCTGTGCCACCCATAGGGCCTGATGAGGGGTATGGGGAGGGGCCGGGCTTAGTTGTTACGAGTTCTCTTGACTGTCCCCATGGGGAAGGCAGGAGGGACGGGTCTGCTCCCCCCCACTCCCCAACCAGCTTGTTTTGGAAAACAAGTCTTTAGCCCAGGCTCTTTATTTCCAAACCACAACGGATTTCTGCAAGAAACATCAAAATTCCACCTGAAGGGACTGGCTATGTTTTTTCTTAAAAAAAAAAAATGTTGTTGTTGTTGTTATGTGCCATCGAGTCGGTTCCGACCCATAGCGACCCTGTACAGGGTGTAAATCTTTCTCCCGCGGAGCACCTGGTAGTTTCGAACCGCTGACCTTAAGGTTCACAGCCCGATTCGTAACCACTACACTACCAGAGCTCCTTAAAAAAAGAAGTAATAAATACTGAAGGGGTTGTGTGTGTATGTATGTATGTGTGTGTGTAGATGGAGTCTGCTCCTTGGAAACGCTATACAGGATCACTATGGGTCAAAACCAATTCAACAGCATATTACAACAAATATATATCCTACAAGCGACACACTGGAGCCCTGGTGTGGCGCTGTGGGCTCATGCGTCATACTGCAAAGTCATTTGAACTACAAGGTCGGTGGTTCAAGCTCACCAGCTGCTCCTTGGAAACCCTATACAGGGTCGCTATGAGTAGGAACCAACTTGACGGCACTTACCAACAGCAACAAGGCTTTAGGAGTCCTGGTGTGGTGCTGTTGGCTAATGTGTCAGACTGCAAAAGTCATTTGAACTGCAAGGTCGGTGTTCAAGCTCACGAGTTGCTCCTTGAAAACCCTATACAGGGTCGCTACAGGTCAGAATTGACTCGACAGCACTTAACAACAATAACACGCCCATTGGTCCAGTTGTGAGGAATTTTGAAGACTCCATACAGACTGAAGATGAAGTCCATACAGACTCCATCCACACATATTCTTTGAGTTTCATTGCAAATGCTTCACGTTCTCTTTGCTTTCAACAAGCAAGACTGTGTATTCGGAGTCACGAGTTGTTAACGAGTCTGCCACCAATCCTGACATGCTCTTGTTCATGTAGCTCAGCTTCTTGGATTATTAGATTAGCAGACAGACTGAATAAGTATGGTAAAAGGATACAACCTTGGTGCATGCCTTCCTGTTTTAAAACCATTCAGTATGCCCTTGTTTTGGTCTATGTACAGGTTCCTCATGAGCACATTTAACAGTTGTACAATTCCCATTCTTCACATTGGTATCCACAGTTTGTTATGATCCACAGACGACGACCTTGGTGTAGTCAATAAAGCACAGGTACACATCTTTCTGGCATTTTCTGCTGTCAGCCTAGAGCCACCTGACGTCAGCAGTGATATCCCTCATTCCACGTCCTCTTCTGAATTCAGCGTCAATTTCTGGCGGCTCCTGTCAATGTACTGCTGCCACTGGTCTTGAATTGTCTTCTGCAAAGTTCTACTTGCTGTGATACTAATCATAATTGCTGGATAATTGGTTCACTCTGTTGAGTCACCTTTTTGGAATAGGCACAAGTATGGATCTCTTCCAGTTGGTTGGCCAGCTAGCTGTCCTCCAGATTTCTTCCAGTGCTGCATCCGTCTGGTGAAACATTCCAATTTGTATTCCATCGATATTCGAGCCTTGCTTTTCGCGAGTGCCTTCAGTACCATCGGTTCTTGATCACACGCTACCTCTCGGAATGGTTGAACACCAACCAGTTATATTTCAGTATGGTGCCTCTGTGTATTCCTTCCATCTTCTTTTGATGCTTTCTGCATCAGTCAATATTTTGCTGACAGAATCCTTCACGATTTAAGCTGAGGCTTGAATTTTTTCTTCAGTTCTTTCAGCTTTAGTAAACGTGGAGTGTGCTCTTCCGTTTGGTTTTCTAGCTCCGTCTTTGTGCATTTCTTTATACTTTGCTTTGTCTTCTTGAGCTGCCCTTGGAATGTTTCTCTTCAGTTCTTCGACTTCCTCACTCCTTCCATTCACTTTAGCTTCTCTATTCTCATGAGCACGCTTCAGAATCTCTTCTGACATCCATTTTGGCCTTTTCTTTTTTTCCTGTCCTTTTAATGACCTTTTGTTTTCTTCCTGTATCATGTTCTTGATGTCATCCCACAAAAACAAGCCCCTTCTGGTCTTCAATCATTAGTGTCTAATGTGTCAACTCTGTTCTTAAGATGGTCTCTAGAATCCTTTGGGATATACTAAAGCCCATATTTTGCTCTCGTGGACTTGTTTACACTTTCTTCAGTTTCAGCCTTAACTTGCAGATGAGCGATCTGTTCACAGTCTTGCTCCTGGCCTTGTTTTGGATGATGATGAGCTTCTCCAGTTAATTTGATTCCTGTGTAGGTCATCTGGTGAGGTCCATATGTATATGTTGTTGTTGTTGTTAAGTGCCGTCGAGTCAGTTCCGACCCATAGCAACCCTGTACAGGGTTTCTGAGGGTGTAAATCTTTACGGGAGTAGAAAGCCTCATCTTTCTCCCGCGGAGCGGCTGATAGTTTCGAACCGCTGACCTTAAGGTTTGCAGTCCGATTCGTAACCACTACGCTACCAGAGCTCCTTCCATATGTATATAGTTGCCATTAATATTGCTGAAAAAAGGTATTTGCAATGAAGGAGCTGTTGGTTTTACAAAATCGTATCACGTGATCTCCAGCATCATTTCTATCACCAATGCCTTATTTTCTAATGAGCGATTCTTTCTCTTCGGTTCCAAAGACTAGTAACTATCAATGTATCTTGACTGCAAGCTTGATCTATTTCAGACTGAAGATGTTCATAGAATTCTTTAATTTTTCCATCACTGGCTTTGGTGGTTGGTGCATAGATTTCAATAATAGCGGTATATGCTGGTCTTCCTTGTAGTGGTGATGTGCTGTGGAGTCAGTTCCGACTCATAGCGACCCTGAACAGGGTTCCCGAGACTGTAAATCTTTAAGCGAGCAAAAAGCCTCATCTTTCTCCCACTGAACAGCTGGTAGTTTCAAACTGCTGACCTTGTGGTTCGCAGCCCGTTTCATAACCACTACGCTACCACAGCTCCTTGGTCTTCTTTGTATAGATATTATCCCACCACAGACTGAGTTGTGCTTCAAGATTAGTCTTGGAATGATCTTTTAGATGCAACATGATTCATCAGTTTGTTATTTCTGGCACAGAAAAAATGTAATTGTTCAATTCACAAAGGTCATCACGAGTGCATTTCAGCTCACTAATGCCTAGAACAAGGAGCTCTGGTAGTGTAGTGGTTACAAGTCTGGCTGCTAACCTCAAGGACAGTAATTCGAAACTACCAGCCATTCGGAGGGAGAAAGATGAGGCTTTCTTTCCCATAAAGATTTACAGCCTCGAAAACCCTATGCAGGGTTGCTATGAGTCAGAATCGACTCCACGACACATAACCACCACCACTAATGCCTAGATCATCAATATTTACGCTTTCCATTTCATTTTTGACTTCCAATTTTCCTAGATTCATACCTTGTACACTTTATGTTGTGAATATCAATGGATGTTTGCAGCTGTTCTCATGTTGAGTTGTGCCCCATCAGAAAATGAAGGTCCTGAAAGCTTTTCTCCATTCGCATCATTATGGCCAACGCTACTTTGAGGAGGCAGCTTGTCCCCAGTCATATTTTGAGTGCCTTTCAACCTGAGGGGCTCATCTTCTGGCACTATATCTGACAACGTTCTGACACTATTTATGAGGTCTTCAGGGGCTAGGTCCCTCAGAAGTGGGCCTCCTGTTCTTTGTATTTAGTCTGCTCTGAGTCTGGCACCTCCGCTGAAACGTGTCCATTATTGAATTGATATTTGAATTACCAGTGGCATATTCCAGCAACACACCATCACAACAACATGCATGCCATCATAGTATGACAGACTGACTGACAGACGGCATACTGTTCTCGTGTGTCGAGTTGGTTCCAGCCCACGGAGACCCAGTAGAGGGTTTCTTCCGATCCTATAGTTCGCAGTCTACTGCTCAGCCTACAGCACCATGGCAGGCCTCACCACACACACAGTACACACACAGAGTTACAGTTGGCAAAAGAAGAAAGTGAAGTTTTAGAATCAGTGTCTATTTTTGGAACTCAGTATTATGTAGCATTTTTTTTTTTTCTTCACATAGTAAACTTGTTTTAATCATTTGATTTTAACAAATGTATTGGGGGGAGGGCCATGGGGACAGGGCAGGTCCCCTCTCCTTTCCTCCTCTTCCCTCCCCACAAAAAGGGGCTCAGGGAAAGATATAGGCAAGGGAGAGGTCCCCAGTCTGTTTGGGGGAAGGGGCTACAGAGAACAGGGGACCAAACCCAGGCTAGAGAGAAGAATCCACAGCATTCTGATTCTAGATCGAATTAACAAACACAACAGAAACAAAACACAACAGACAGACGACAGCAGCCCCCCCTGCCCCCCCTCCCCTCCCCCCCCCCCCCCCCCCCCCCAGGGCGGCCTGACCGGAACCACTGCTCATCCTGAACAAGGGAGCAGCATGAAGGGCAGGGGGTCCCTGACAGTAGCATTTCTTTTTAAAGCACGTTTTAGGCGCTGTGGCATTTGGAGAGGGCATGTCCATCAGGACAGTGAACGAGGCTCAGATGTTCTTCTGGAAGCGGGACGGGTTTCCCAGGAGGCAGGCGCAGCCCTCCAGTGCCTTCCATAGACCAGAAGCAGCAGGTGGGAGTGGGGCACTGGCACCGTCTGGACTGGGCCTTCCAGCCAGATTTCCAGAAGTTTCTCCACACTCACCTTCCCTCCACACACGATACTGCTCACGAGCCTGCTTATGGGAGTTAAGCTGCCCAGTAGACTCATGATTTTCACATCTTTGAGACGGTTTCCAGAGGGTAGACACCCACTCCCTGTACCTGCGCCTTTCTGCCTGCCCTCGGCGGAGTGCCCACTCACCCAGTCCACAATGAGGATCTTGCTGACGCTCAGCCGCTGCTGAAGGAGCTTGGCTGCGATGGCCACCGAGTTGAAGTAGCAGAAACCCCTGGAGGTGGACGGGGGGAAGGGAGGGGACGGCCCAGTTAGGGATCCCACCAATGACCTCAGCTCCTGGGGGCTCAGCTCCAAACTGGCACTACATGGTCCACACAACGCACATTCGCATAACCACACACACACTCAGCAGCCTCACATATGCGCACATCACACATACACACATCCATGGACATCCATGTCACACATACTCAACAGCCTCACATATGTACATGTCACCTGTACATACATCTACGGACATCCATGTCAAACACACTCAGCAGCCTCACATATGTACACGTCACACGTACACACATCCACGGACATCCACATCACACATACTCAGCAGCCTCACATATATACACATCAAATGTACACACATCCATGGACATCCACATCACACATACTCAGGAACCTCACATATGTATATGTCACATGTACACACATCCATGGACATCCACATCACACATACTCAGCAGCCTCACATATGTACACGTCATATGTACACACATCCATGGACATCCACATCACACATACCCAGGAGCCTCACATATGTACATGTCACATGTACATACATCTACGGACATCCATGCCACACACACTCAGCAACCTCACATATGTACATGTCACGCATACATACATCCATGGACATTCATATCAAACACACTCAGCAGCCTCACATATGTACACGTCACACGTACACACATCCACGTCACATCCACTCCGCAGCCTCACATATGTACATGTCACATGTACATACATCCACGGACATCCATGTCACACACACTCAGCAACCTCACATATGTACATGTCACGCATACATACATCCATGGACATTCATATCACACACACTCAGCAGCCTCACATATGTACACGTCACACGTACACACATCCACGTCACATCCACTCCGCAGCCTCACATATGTACATGTCACATATAAACATCCACGTCACACACACACCTGTCCATGGTTGCACATGTACAGTACACACCATAGCAGACTGTGTAGCAGCACTAGAGCTAACAACAGGTGGGCCCTGCCCTCTCCCGCCTGCTGGGGTCTGAGGTCTACTCACATGGGTGTGCTCTCCTCGGCGTGGTGTCCGGGGGGGCGGACCACTGCAAAGCCGTTCTGTAGACGAGAAGCCCGTCAGTAAAGGTGTCTTGCGGGCTCACAGGTTTCAGTGAATCTCACTCAGAGAGGAAAAGGTGTGTGCCTCCCCAATTTCTGTGGGTGACAGCTGCCTGCGGTTTGGTGTTACTGAGCCTGGCACCCAGGTAGGTATGGACGGGATGGGGCTCAGAGGACCCTGAAAGAAGTGTCCTCCACCAGCCAGGCACACATGGAGGGGATCCAGGATCATGTCAGACTCACTGATGAGTCACACTTAGGCAAACACAACGGTAGACCAACACGCTGCTGGTCCTGCCTCGGAAAACCAAGAGCGAGCTGAGCTAGGGGCCCCTTTTTCTTAAAAGAAGGTCTGAGGTGGAGAAACCGAGGGTGTCTCTCATTATCACGCGGAGGATGACAGAGCTATTAGAGCTGAGGTCTAGCGTGGAGGGGACCCCTGGCACCTCTGGAAGCCCTGTGTACTTCCACACACCTGAAGTCATCTCCGAATGACCCGTGCCTGGTGAATGGACCCGTGTCCCCACAGTGACCGGGACGACTGGGGAGGGTGTGCATGTGTGAGTGTGTGAGGGTGTGTGTGAGGGTGTGCGTGTGTGTGTGTGTGTGTGTGTGTGTGTGTGTGAAGGTGTGTGTGAGGGCCCCAGAGCAGCGAGCTGTTCAGAGACAACATTGGTCAGGCTTTGACTCAATGTTGAGTTGGAATCGACTTGGGGGCAGGTGTGTTATCCGAAGGGGATTAGCATTTGCGTGAAGTTGAGTTTTCTTCATGATCCTACAACCCAGCAATCAATCATAACCCGAGGTGGCAGGACACAGCAGGGCCAAGAGTCCAGCTGCCGTCGATGCCATTGTTCAGAGTTTTAAGATCTTTTCCTTAGAGAGAAATGCAGCTCACCGAACCGGTCTGTATTCCCCACACTGTGCGTGCCGGGCAGGGGCTCCACTAGCCTCCCCCATAGTCCCTACTGTGCAGTGCGTGTCTTGGGGGATGTGTGCTCCCATCCGCTGCAGCTTGCTGACCAGACCCCTCACTCACCTTCAGTTCTCCCGTGGCCACCTTGAAGACCAGCTCCACCACACAGCCCACGGCCAGCCGAGCCGCCCCTGATGAGTGCACCTCGTTCCATATGGTATCACTGTCCACCTGCGGAGACGGTGGATATGGTCACTGTCGTCCAGGCCACACAGGCCGCCCCAGCCTCGCCAGTCTCCGAGGCTCCATGGAGACCCCGCATCTCAACTCCCAGCATCGTGCCTCCTGCCCACTAATTTCCTCTCAAAGAACAGAGCCAGCTGCACTGGGGTCGCTTTTGCCTCTAAAAACAACGCATCGCAAACACATATTAGCAGTCAAGGGAGCTGGCAGGCCAGGAACGACACACTTCTACCCTTTTCTGAGTCTGCTGCGTCCCTCCCCCTTTCCTTACTGCATCACATCACACCGACGACCAACAGAATGACACGAATCAGGAGCTGGAACCAGATATCTTTAGGTTGTGGCTCATGTTGTGCTGAATTACCCACAATCTCCAAATGCCCGACAGGACAGGAAGACAGGAATGGGCACAGGAGGGGGCAGTGAGGATCAGACATTAGAACAAGGGGCAGACCCGTCACCAGACGCTGTAGGACCAGATGTTGGCACTGCCTTCGCCCTCTACAACCAACAGAAATGTGTTCTGTCACAGGCCAGGAGTCTAGAAGTCTGACTTCAGGCTCCAGGGGGGGCTTCCTCTCTGTTGGCTCTGGGAGAAGGTCCTTGTCTCCTTTCAGCACCCATGGGCCTGGCGTCCCTTGGCGAGCTCCATGTGTCTGTCTTGTCTTCAATCTTCCCCTGGGTCTAGGTGGTTCTCAGCACAGGGATCCCACCTCTCTGTCCGCTTGTCCTGGTATCTCTTATAATTACAAGGAGCTGCAGGCTACCCCCCAGGGACACTCCCCTTATGTAGGACGGGGCTGTGATAGGATTAGGGTGCTGCCCCCCACCATTCTTCCTCTACTGGCTTATGGCATCACAACACATTTTCAATAGTCCCTGGCGTCTGTGGGGGCATTGGCAGGTTGAGTCTGGGAGCCTGAGTGGGGTGGGGATGCAGAGGGGCAAAGGCTGAAAGTACAAACACTTTGGGCCACATCCTTCCTGCGTTCAGTGAACTTTACCAGAACACTCCCCTGTCTAGCTGGGATCCTGTCCTCTGGGACCCCATCCCAGGACACCCCAAGCCTAAAGCCACCTGCCACCTTGGGAAGAGGTCGAGTAGAACTCCTGTCTCCCTGCCCTTTTAGAGAGAGCTGGTTGTGTGGAGGGACCGGGGTGGTGTGGAAGCTTCCTCTTCAAAAGCAGACGAGTTGCAGGGAATCCACAAATCCTGGCTCCACAGGGCGGGACTTTGCAGTGACCAGAGCTGTCATTTCTTTAAACCGTTCCCAAATATAGTTAGAACTCTCCACCTGCCTTCCCGGCAGCATCCATGGCCAGCATTTCAAAGATGGCTTCTGGTCCCAGTCATGGCCCGCTGAGGCCTTTGACCTCACGGGGGCTTGTTCAGGGGGGAGAAACAGTCACCAGATGTCCCGAGTGGAAGCCTGGCCAGGTCCCTCTGGTGGTCCCAGGGCAGTGGGTTTAGACACATGAGGCCCTGAGAGATAGTCTGGGCAACTCAGAAACCACTGCCGTCTAGTGACGACCTAAGCGCTCAGACAACCATGCTCCTCTGGGCTTGCAATGGCGTGGTCCGCTAACCCCCATCCAGCCGCCGTGCAGCAGAAAGGGGTGGCAGTCTGTCTCCGCAGGATCACAGGCCGTGGAACCTCATGGGGGCAGTTCCCTGTCCGGCAGGATCGCTACGAGTTGGCATCGACTCTATAGCAACAACAACCAACAGTGACCATCTTGCAGGATGGCGGGGCCTGTCTCCCAAGGAGAAAGGAGCTTCACCGTCTGCACCACCGAGGAGAAAGTCCTCAGAAAAAGACAAACCCACTGTCGCCGGGTCAACCCTGACTCAGAGTGACCCTGCGGGGCAGACCGCCTCACGTACGTAGGCAAGGGTCCTGGCAAGGCCTGGTCAGGGCTGTGCAGATCAGGGGTGTCCGGGAGGGCCTCTTCCATACAATCGGCAAACGTGCTTGCCCCATGTGAGGGGGCCGCAGCAACATACTGAGGCCCAAGAACCACCGGCGAGGTGACAGCCTCTCCCAGCTTCCCTCCTGCTCCCCCAATGACCACGCTCCACTCAAGCTGTTGGTCTGCTCTTCCCGATGGCTGGGGGGCAGGCTGGATTCAGAAGGTGCACTGTCCCTGGGCCACTGAGGGGAACGCTGTCCACAGGGCTGGAGGACAGCAGTGTTGGGGTCCCGCCTTGCCATGAGACTTGCAAAAACAACCCAAAGAAACCAGTGCCCCGCGGTGCCCCGTGGTCCGAGATCTCAGCAGACTGCAGGGGCCCTGGAATCCGTGCCATCGTCCTTCATGTCTGTGCATGAGTGAGTGGCTCTGTGCCGGCCAGCCAGGCGGCTCTGCAATTCGGAGGCAACTGAGGCTCAGCGCCCCCACATCTGAGTTCACTTGCAAATGATAAATTCTGCCTTGGATGACACACTGGCCGCAGGGCAGTGTAAACTCAAACCTTTTCACGTTTGGTCAGAAATTTGCCATAAATTAAGAGACTGGAGCCCACTCACAACACAGACTAGGACCACTCGACATGCGCCAGCTGGCGTTACGGGAAGTGCCACCGAGTCTCCTGCAGGAATAGTGTCTAAAGCAGCGAGTTTTGTAAAGACTCGGGAAGAAAATCACCTTGTTTCAGTTCCGTAACAAGCTCCAGACCTCAAGCTTTGCCTTGTTATCTGGAATTTTGCACCAGCTGGTCATGCATCATCAACTGGGGGCCTTGGCGCCCACCGCCTCTGTTGACTCTCCCAGGCCCGTGGGACCACGGCCTCTCCATTAAACTGTAGTTCCCTGATTTCTCCGTCTTCGCTCATTTCGTCAAGAGTTCGTCTTTAGGGGACCTCTAGATCTATCCAGACCCCTACCCTGTTCAGGTGTTGGCGACGCCGTCTACTCGGGGGAGAGGACAGCAGACACAGCCTAGCAGACCACCTCATGCTCCATGAACCCTGCGCCCCTTTGTCCAGGGCTTCACAGTCCTTCTGAAACAGAGGGGACCTGGCTACTGCTCCCATGTGGGGACAGGCTGCCTGAGGATACAGGCTGGAGGGACGCAGCCTGGGGGAAGGTCAGGGGCACACATGTGGTTTCTGAGATCCAGACAACACACAGGCCACAACTTCCATGTTAGAGAGATACTCACCCCAACACCTCCGCATGGGAGCCGCACAAACACCGAGGTCAGGGAGCCTGTAGGGAGAGGGACAGTCAGGGTCCAGTAGGTGGAGGCCAGGCCACCAGTCCAGCCTGCCTGGGAGCCACTGGGCTCTCAGTGGCTTGAGTGGGGTCCACAGATGGTCACTGCACGGTTGCGGAACATTTCTCTGGGTGGAGGCCAGAACCTGCAGGTCAAACTTAGGTGTCAACCATGTGGAAAGGCCTGAGGATCTTGGATCAGGACCTCACCTGCAGGGGACCACCAGGTAGCAGGGGTCCCTGACTGCTGGAGGGGGTGACTCTGAGACCTGGCAGGCAGCTGCCTTTATGGGGATAAGCCCCGGACACCTGGGAGGTGACAGAAGACCGAGTCTGACTCACTTTCCACAGAACTCTGTGAGTGTGTCCGAGCAGGGATCCAAGTCCAGCTAGGAGCAGGCAGGGACCCGGAATCTCTCAGGATGTCACTATCCACGTCACACTCACTGGGCTGCATGTGAGGGGAACCCCCAGAAGCCCACCATGCAGTTCCCCATACAGGGTGGCCCACCAAGTCCTGATGCTTCTTGAACCTGGAGCTCAGTTGCCCGGAATATTCTCCCCCAGCACGAGAGAAGCAACACTTTCTGGGATCCTGCCCTGAATCAGTGGTCAGGGAAGCTGGGACTGACCCACCCAGGATCCTCTCGCTCTACACTTGACCTTCAGAGGGGATTTCCCTGGTGGGGAGCTGGGTTTCTAAGGTTCCGATTCCCAGCCAGGCTGAGCACACTGTCCACATTTTCTCGGGGAGAAGCAGGACGTTGGGGGCTTTTCTCTCACTTGGTTCTGGGTGGTGATCTGGGGAGAGCTCGCTTTTCAGTACCCAGCTGGCAGCAAGGCCCCACGGAGACCCTCTCTGCTTGACGCCGCCTGCATTTTGTCCTGCTCACAGCCCACTCATGTCTCCTGGACCGTTCGAGTGGACGATGCTGACCTCAGCGATAGAACTCGTTCTGTTTCCTTTTCTTTCCACTGAGCTGTGCTTAGAGCTTGTCCACGCAGCTAAGAGGACACCTCGTCTGTTACCACTTGAGATGCACTTCAGGTTTCTGATGCCTGTCCTGAGGCCACAGTTCAGACATGGTGCAGGCAGTCCTGGGGTGGCAGAAGGTGGGACAGGTGGGACCAGGGACTGCTGATGATGTTGTTAGGTGCTGTCGAGGCAGTTCCGACTCACAGCCACCCTGTTTAGGGTTCCCAACGTGCAGCTGGTGGATTTGAACTGCTGACCTTGTATTCTAGCGCCTCTCCTGCAGAACCACAGGATTCCAGGTGCAGATGGTTTACGTGGCCTTACCCTATGGTGGCACAGTGGGATAAGCACTGGACTGCTCACCTCAAGGCTGGTGGTGTAAGATGAGGCTGTCGGCTTCAGTAAAGACTTACAGTCTTGGCAACTCTTACGCAGAAGGCATGACTTGGAACAAGACACAATGACAACTAGCTTGCTTTGTGGGAGGTGGTTTCAAAGCTGCTCACGTGCTGGCTGTGAGCTCTGGTGGTGCAGTGGGTTAGGTGCTGGCAGCCAGCACCCACCAGGTGCCTTATGGGAGAAAGATGAGGCTCTCTGTCCCCCTAAAGATTGTAGCCTTGGAAATCTTATGGAGCGGTTCCGGCCTGTCCTCTACGGTCACTGTTGTAATCAGCTTGGCAGCAGTGGGTTTTTTTGGTAGGAGTTGGACCAATCGATTCAAAGTGAGGTCCAGTTCGTTGATTTCAAGTGCCATCGAGTTGGTTCTGACTCATAGCGATCCTGTATACTGGTGAGTTTGAACCGCTAACCTTGTGGTTAGCAGCCTAGAGCTTACCCACAGTGTCACACCAAGACTCTGACGTCCATTTGTTGTTAACTGCCGTCGAGTTGGTTCTGACCCATAGTGACCCTGTATAGGGTTTCCGAGGAACAACTGGTGAGCTTGAACCACCGGACCTTACAGCTCAACCTGGCTTTGCAGTCCAGCACATTAGCAACACACCAAGATTTGGACAAGACGGAGTTGTCCATCAGTGGGACATGTGTAACCCAGGACTGCTGTGGTTCAGTTGACGGTCACCTCGAATGGCAACAAGCCAACACAGTGGAGGGGCTTCTTTCCCTTGTGAATGTCCACGCTGGGCTGGGGACCTGGTAGGCACACCTGAGTCCCTGGGTGTGTGGGATCCTGTTGGGCAGCCTCTGTCCTCCAAGACATGGGCTGGAGTGGACTGCTGTGCTCTGTCAGTGCTGGTGGTCCTGTCCTTGTGAGCTGCATGGAGGGTGGGCTTCTGGGAGATCCTTCAGCCTCATGCAGTCCCGTGAGCAGGACATGGAACATCCTGAGAGATTCTCGGGGGTCTGGGCTCTTGGCACTCACAGCTGGGGACAGGTGGGGTTCGTGCTCGGAGATGCACACAAGTTCTGAGGGGGCAGGGGGAGCAGGACCCAGGGGGCCCGTCTGTTGTTTGTCCTGTGGGGCCGGGGAGGGACACTCGGGGTGTTGCTCAAGGCTGGAACTGCCATATGTGTGTCCAGTGGGTGAGGTCCACGCCCTAGGAGCCTGCCCTGGCCCAGCTACAGGACCCCCGAGTCTGTGTCTCCCAGGAACCCCATGTCTGTGCCCTAAGTCTGTGGCCCCCAGGATCCACCCTCCTCCACTGAATTGCTGGGGCAGGAGACACCTGGTCGGGAAGTTCAGAGCCTTCTTGCACCCTGTCTCCAGGACTGCCTGTCAGAGCCACACACCAAGGGGTAGTCCCTGGGGGAAATCCCTGCTGCCGTCTCCCCATGTGCCCTCAATTCCCTGACACCCTAACATGGGCACTGCTGGAGCCCTGGTGGTGTCCTTTGCCCCTCACCTCATGATACAGCGTGGTGACCATGCCCCAGTCCCCTGGGCCTGGTGGGCCGGGCTCCGGCCGACCTTTCATCACCACCCCACGAGGGGCTTGCAGTGTGTGGGTGGGAGAACCGAGCTCCCAGAATGGTGTTGGTGACTCGGAACCCAGAACCAGGGCAAGGAAGGCCTTGAAATACCTAGGAGTCTCTTACTGTCCAGTTTCTGCCGGTTGAGCGGGTTGGTGCCGTACAGCAGTGTGTGAGCTTCTGAGTGTACCATCTGCAGCTCCTCCAACGTGGCCTTGCGCCCGCGGATGCACTGTGGAGACAGAGGGGCCATCAGACGTCACACCACGGGCGCTGTGTCAGAATCGTTGGACAACTTGAAGGAGCATCGGAATGGGGCTCCTCTCTTGGTCCGATGGGCAGCTCTGGTCTTAGGACAGACCCCTCTGTTCCCGCTGCAAGTCGGGGCTCTAGAAAATGCACCCCAAGCGCGGCAGAGCTCAGGACGGCATAACGTCCTGCACCTGCAGATGGAGAAGCTGGCCCTGCTCGCACCGGTCTCAGGTAGCCCTCCAGCCCTTCCGCGGTCCTCTGTGTGGGCGCACCAGGGTTCCGCTGAGACTTGGCCCAGCAACTTGCACACATACTGGCTGGGCCTCGAACGACACTTATTGAGTCTTTATAAGATGGCCAGGGTGTGGCTGGCCAGATGAGGCTGGTACTGGACGTGGGCAGTGGTTCCTGAGAGCGGGAGCCCACGTACTGGGGTGGCACCTCCTCCCGGTCACCCAGCCCGCGATGGAGACATGCCGTGACAGAAGCTCTGGCATCTCGGGCCACTGCAGGGGACGCTGTGGTCAGTCGTGTCCTGTGCCTGAGGAGCCCCGTGTGGCACTGAGCGGGCAAGGGCAGGAGGAGGGGCTCTGTGACCCCACTGCTCTGTGACTCATCTCAGGAAGCCCCTTCCCCACATCATGAATCAACCACCACTCACGGGAGTGGACTGAGTGCACTTCTTGGTGTGTGGGTGTGGGTGGGGAGACAGGGTGTTGGTGTGGACTTGGCCTGCCTGCCGGGGCAGGGACTCAGCATCCTGGGGCTTTTTGGGCCAATCCGGCAGTTAGAGCACCAATTGTGTACACTACATGGGGTCGGGAAAGAGAGGTGACCAGTGTGGTGTTGGTGTGGAGGAAGGGCTGGCCGGCCAGGTGGCCAAGTGGGCTCTCCCATGCAAAGACCACACTGTGGGACAACTTAAGACAGACCAAGAGAGGAACTTTGGGGCGAAATGCAACATTACAAGAAACCACCTCAGAAGCAGGTCAGCTCCCCACCCTTAGAGATTTGACGGGGCCTCAAAAAGCATGTGGGAAAATTCCATTATCTCCAAATTCCATTTTTCTGGGAACTTCTCAGAACCCCCTCATATGTAAAGTGAGAGCAGAGAAGTTATGGGCTGATGGAGGAACTCAGGGCCATGGTGACCACTCGGACGTGGGACGTGCCACGATGCTGGACACCCCCCACTAATCTCAGCCTCCCCTGGGCGCCTGGCAGATGGACAGTCGCTGAGAGCTCCTGAGGGGACTCTCTCAGTCAGCAGCCGGGTTGGAGACTGTCACATGCCCCCTTGAAACCTGCTTAGAACCCTGGACCCCTAAAGCCAGCCCCAAATGCACTTTGACAGTTAACTGCACCATGAACTGCAAGGTCAATGGTTCAAACCCAGTAGCTGTTCTGCATGGAAAAGACGAGGCGGTCTGTTCCTATGCAGGTTCACAGCCTCGGACAACCCTATGGAGCCGATTCACTCTGTCCTATACAGTCCATGAGAGTTGAAATGGTGGACTCCACAGTAGTGGGGTTTGGGGGTGGGGTGGGGCTGGGAAAAGAAGTATTTGGAATTGGGGTGCCCTTCATCCTGGGCTCCCGGAGCCCCCGGCGATGCTCAGCAGGAATGGGGAGTACTTGGTGCCCCCTCAGGCTGGGGTTCTACCGGGGCGGTGCTGCCTCCTAGTGGTGAAACTCGGCAATTGGCACTGCAGGGCGGCTGTGTGGGCCCAGCCCCCGTGCCCCCCCCACCCCAAACATTGGCAACCTGGCTGGAGCTGTGGGATCCCTAACTGCTGCGAGGCCCTGTGAGGGCTGAGTGGGGGGTGGGGGGGCACTGCCAGGTCTAAGCTCCTTGTCTGGGGCTCCAGTGTACTGGTGGGAGGTTCACGGGTGGACTTCGTGGTGGGCTTCGGTGGAGCACTCCTGGGAGGTGGTACTCGACAGACCAGGAGACCCAGGCCCAAACACAGAGGCTGGGCTGCTCAGTCCATTTTTGGGGACAAGGGCAGGACCGAGGGTAGCCTGGGGAGGGAGCTGCCTGCCCCCTCCTTACCTCACACTTGCCCCGCAGGCCCGTCTCCTGCAGACGGGACCATATGCTCTGGATGCGGCCGGCGTGCTCGGGGTGGCTGTTGGTGTTTCCGCAGGCACACTGGTGTTTCAGCATTAGTGTGTCGTACACGAGGCCTGAGAGCACACAGGGGTCAGGCGGTGACCCTGCTGCCACGGCGCCAGGCCCTCTCGCCCAGCCCTCCCTCTACATGAGCTCAGGCCTCAGAGAAATAGCCCCTGGGGTCCGCAGGGGAAGCTGGACAGGGAGATGGACACCCCCGGTCGAAGCCCGCCCGGCCCCATCCCGGGAGAACGCCCGCGGCGCAGTACCTGTCGTGAAGCGTGGTTTGGTGGGGGGTTCCTGCACAGACATGGGGAAGGTGGCGGCCGCCGGGGACGACTGTGCCCGGGACAGGGGCCGGTGGCCTCCAAAGGACACAGGGATCCCAGCCGCCTCCATGGACGCCTGGTAGTCCCTCAGCTGGTGGATCCGCTGCTGCTCCAGGAGGAGGGCTTGCTGGGGGAGGGGAGGGGGGAGGACGCGCTTCAGTGATGCCTCAGGGCTCGAGGGTCCGTTTCATGCAAACCGTTCACCCACCCACCCACCTACACACATACATACACACACACATATCTACACACACACTCGCATCCATACACACATATCTACACCCACATCCATACACACATCCCTACACACCCACCTACACACACACAATCTACACCCACATCCATACACACACTTATCTACACACACACCTACACACACACACATACATACACACACATATCTACACACACACACCTACACACATACACACATATCTACACACACACCTACACACACATACATACACACACATATCTACACACACCTACACACACACATACATACACACACATATCTACACACACACCCACATCCATACACACATATCTACACCCACATCCATACACACATCCCTACATACCCACCTACACACACAATCTACACCTACATCCATACACACACACACCTACACACACACCTACACACACATACATACACACACATATCTACACACACACCCACATCCATACACACATATCTACACCCACATCCATACACACATCCCTACACACCCACCTACATACACACAATCTACACCCACATCCATACACACACCTACCCACCCACCTACA